ACTAAAGTATATTAATGCTGTCATTAGATACAAATCTTTGTGGCGGCAAAAATTGTGCCTGTTTGTGTCTTAAGATAGAAATCCATTAAACGGATCTCACAAATATTGATTTATTAAAAATAACATTTCCGTTATCTGTTGCAACTTGCGTCATCTTTGAAACATAACAAAACTATGTTGTTGTTTGTGTGTTGCATGCGTCAAGATTCTGCCAACCAATCAGAGCGCTGGTTTTTCTGTTGTGGAGGGCATGGCTTAGATTAATTTAGCGATGGGACTGGAATAGCCAGCAATGAGTGTTGGTGTCTGTAATGTTGGTAATACACGCATCAGACGCTCTGTCATGCACAGGGACAGCTGTCAAATTAGTTTGATTATTGTCATTGGCACACAGAGAAAAATCAATTGGAAATACAAACGAGCAAAATAGCCTGGTGGGAAATCCACCATAGTTCACCCAAAAATGAAAATTCTGTCATTAATTACCATCATGTCATTTCAAACTCGTAAGACTTTCATAACACAAATAAAGATCTTTTTGATGAAATCTGAGAACTGTCTCTCCCTCCATTGACAGTCTACACAACTACCACTTTGACGCTTCAAAAAAATCATAAAGAGATTGTAAAAGTAATAAATATGAATCGAGCGGTCATCGCTTAGAGCACCTTTAAAATACACTCAGGTATGCATGTGTGAACTGATTAGTTTATAATAGAGGTGTGGTTTTCTAATGTGTAACTGTTTATTGGAAGAATGTTCCCAAATATTGATTGGCAAACCAAGTCCGTTTCTTCTAGAGTAAATAAAGAACACTCTGTTTACGAGTCCCTTGGGGCATGGCGATCAGCAGGCGCTGATCAGGCTGGCGTTTTCCGTGGAACATGACGGACCTTTTCTCCATTTCTATTTTCTTTTTATTTAAGTCTTTTCTTTATTTTCACGTTCTCCTCTCCCTCCACGAGGGAGACGAACTCTGAATCATTTCTTGGTTAGCGCCATGTTCATTGAACCTTTAAACGTCCCGTGAGTCTGCTCGCCCTGGAAGACACAAAAGAACACGCAATACAAAGTTCCTCAGCAATACAACGAGAACTACTGTAAGAAAGAGTATATTGTTTATTGATTTGATTTGACGTAATTTCTTGTTGTCTCTCGCAAGATTACATCGTGATTTTTGCCATGCTTTTACTTCTCTCTCATTTTCTCTTGTTCGTGTTAGTAATGTTTTTCGTGTGTTTGTTTCTGTTGTTAACATATTTACTCTGTGTGAATCGTATTACATTACATCCATGATTGCTTCTCTTTAAATGCTCGTATTAAAAAAAAAAAGTCAGTGAGATGTTGATCCTGGCTACAAAAGCCTTATTTTTACTACGTTGAAAGGGTTAATTTTATAAACACAGGAAAATTAATGTTCAAGGCCAGAAAATTTATATTTCTTGGTGTTTATAAGAAGCGATAACTTTATTGGGAGGTTGATAAGTTAATCTTGCGGCCGTTTGCTGGACAAACAGATTGTTTGATAACTAAATAAATTCCATGTGAGGTTATCTCATTTAATCAATCTGTAATATGACTATTGATATATTAATGACGAACCATTACTCATTATGGAGATCATTCATATATACAATCGAATTATTTTCAGCTTCGAAAAATGAATTCTTTACATCTTTATGAACTTTTTTTTTATGAACGCTTTTCAAAATTAACTTTTTGAAGCGTCAAAGTGTCAGTTGCATCAATGGAGGGACAGAAAGCTTCCAGATTTCATCAAAAAGATCTTAATTTGTGTTCCGAACATGAAAGAAGGTCTGGGTTTGATACTCTTATGGGTTTGGGACGGCATGAGGGTGATTAATGAATGACAGATGTTTTAATCTTTGGGTGAACAATCCTGTTAATATGTAATATAACAGGATATATATATAAATAATGTTAGATGTAATGTAATTATTAAATGTTAAAAACATTGAATTAATTTTGAGCTCTTCTCTGCATGGACATTCTTTGCAGTCTCTAAAATCTCTAGATGGCCACGTACACTGAGGTGTCTTGGAAATGGGCATCGACGGGTGGGCGAGGCAGTGCAGGTCGATGGTGAGAGCGGCTGGAAGATAAGAACAAATGAAAAGACCCCAGAGGCTCAGTATCACTTACTTATTACTGATAGCGGTGTTAGCCTCTCTGCACCAGAGCCGTAGGCTAAGAAAACATGCTTTAACACTTTAGTGTTTAGATTGTGTTAAAAAAACAATACCCCAGCATGCACACGAAGACAAAAGTGCTATGATCTCATGCACAAGTTTTTTTGGGCACATAAAATGTTTATAACCAGAAGTACCATGTATATGAAAAGTTGCGCTTGCTCTTATGAAATCACAGTCCTGTTCTCTTTCATAGGTTCACTCAACGCTGCGTAGCTTAAGACGCAATGGGAATCTGATGGCTGCTCAGATTTCCTTGCCTTCATTAAGTGGCCATCTTAAGCCCTTTGGTCTCAGATTTTCTGGCCCAAATAATTCGGATTCAGCATTCTTCATCTGCACTTCGGCAACTGCGAATAGTGAAACTCAGTTCTCCTTCCGGTGAAGTGCCATTGAATTTAGTTGTTCCCACTCCGTCTTAAGCTACGCAGTTTCTCGTTCACTTTTCAGAGAACATAGGTTACATCAGTAACCAGAGACATTTTACATGTGGAAAATGTAAAATTGGTTAAGGATATGAGGAGTGGAATTGAGAGAGGAAAAAAAACACAGAGAGGAAAGAGATATCAGGTGAAGTGAGAGAGAAAGAGAAGGGTGGGAGTGGGAGAAGAACATGAGAGAGAGAGAGGGAAAGAAAACAATGACCTTTTCCAGATGATATCTGTACTAATCCTGTGTTTGAATCCCTGCTGAGGTCTTGGGATCTGGGGGTCTGGGGGAAGCTGATAAAAACGCACTGCGAACAATGTGCATCTGCATCTCCGTGCACAATTTTGTATTTCAAACAAACATGCTCATACTCAAACATACCATTCATACTCAAACACACACTTATGCATGCATGCACACACACTAGATAAAAAGTCATCCAAACACAACATTGCAAGTCATTGGTGATGGGACTGGTTAATGCTAAAGATGTGAACCCTTAAATAAACGAACAGTCACCAAGCATATGAACACATGCAGTGTCAGTGCTGGTGCAAGCCTGTTATAGAGATGAGAGATCTCTTACACACTCATAACCATCCCCTCCACACCTAAACACACACTCACACAAAGTCTGGGTCATTGTGCCTCTTAATTAGAGTCTACAGCCACACACAAAGAAATCTATTCACGTTTCAGTTCAGCGGTTCATTTCAAAAGAAGTAAAAACACAAATAAATAAATAAAATGTAAGATGTTTGTTTTTGTTTTTTTTAGAAATGCATACGTTCCTTTAGCAAGGATGCATATAAATTGATCAAAAATGACATTAAAAGTCTGCGGAGAAAAAACTGTCAAAATATAAAGCGAACATTGATCACATAAATAAAGCCTTAGTGTGCATAAGGCCATTTTTTAATTTATACATAAATACATACATACATAATCATACACACAGTATGTGTGTGTGTGTGTGTGTTTTCCTCCAGTTTACATTTATAATGGAGTTTATACCTACTTCCTAATGGTATATACCTATACCTAATGGAGTATTATATCTACTTAAAAATATATAGATAGTAACAAACTAGTATTACAGAGATCCGATATAATGGTATAAGTGATTTTCTAATATCAATATTGGTATAAAATCATGAATCACAATATGGTTATTTTTACTAGAAATACAACTTTTTATATTGCCATATATTAATTGCTATGAATATTCCATTGGATTAAATACTTATCACATGAAAGGTGCTTCATCACATTTGATTATTTTCTTCTCTACTAGCATCTTTTGGACACAAGCCAAAAGATAAGATTATTCATAACAAATGAATGATGAATCTGGCATCAGTGCACAAACAGCTCCAACATTAAGTAACAGCCACATTAAAAAACAAAAGACTCACAGATAACAAATGGCATTGGATGCACTGTTGTACAATCGCTGATCTACGAACATCTGTGAACGTAGTTCAGCACAGAAATCTACAGAAGTTGTGAGTGACATGTAAACAACCTACTCTTTTTACACCGGAAGTGAGCTTGAGGAGAGACTAAATAAAAAGACTAGAATGGAGCCATTAAAGTTGACATTTTCTGTCTGCCGTCATTGACTGCTTTGATAAGCAGTAGTTGTCAGGTAGAAAACGAAAGGGTTTATGCAAAATATGCATTCATTTAAATCAATAGTCAATAACGCGTTTGTCCTTCCTCCAAAAGGAAGACAAATAGACATCTATAACAGAGAGATCACAAATCTATTATGGAGAAGGCACTTCAAAAAGCTGCCCATTTTGGCAAACAAGCAAAAAAGAAACAAGCTGAACTAAAAAAATAAATGCATAGATTTTCTATGCAATAAAGCACACCCAACATCAACTTTTTGAAGCCTAATGAAAACAACTTTTCATAAGGAAGAACAAATGAGCAACACTAACTCCAACCAAAACAACGGCTGACCTTGCATTTAACTGCGTCATTTCTAATGATAGAAATACACACTTCCTGAACATTTTCCCATGATGACTAGCATTGACAAACAACACCCCCAGGAGTGAAGACATATTTTCCCACGTAATTTCAACCTGTAGAGCTGTGCTGCACATCAATATCTCCTTTTTCTTACTTTTGCCCAAACTATAATGAATAGCAAATAATCATAGTTTAATTGTAGCTGGATAATTACTGGTTCATCTATATATCCTTGACCTATGCTATAGACAACAATGGGTGTGTATGCATGTGCTTGTATAATTTATTAATGCGGATCAATGCACATGCATGTTTGTGCAGCAAACGTCCTGCAGCGCCCTCAGGCATAGAGAAGCACATGCAAGTGATGTGTACGTGTACCTCTTTGATGGAGCTGCGAGTCTTTTCCCGCCACTCATCGGAGCTGAGCTCTAAGGTGCAGTGAACATATGTCTCCCTTTCATATGAGCCCAGGATGAACAACCTATAGAGACGACACAGAGAAAAGTCACTTTCAATTATTTAACAATACCACTATGTTTTACAACATTAATAAATACAATAACTGATTAGGTGTTTAGGACAGAAATGTTATATTAAGTTTTAATAATGTGATGTAAAGAAATGAATAGGCAAAAATGTAGCTCTGAAACCTGATCAAAAGTCATTCAGTTCATAAAATAACAATTTATAAAGCCACTACTGCCATCTGCTGGCTAACATAGCTAACTAACATTTTCATTACAAGGACTAACAAGCATAATGGCTATAAAATGACATTATTATATATTCACTGCCATTCAAAAGTTTGGAGCCAGAAAGATTTATTTTTTAATTATTCCTCTTATTAATTATTCATTTTATTAATAGTAATCAGACAGGCATTATGCAGTTATTTAATAAAAATGACAGTAACGATATGTTACAAAAAATTAAACACAAAGCTTTTTAACATCATATTCAAAGAATACTAAAAAATATCAGTTTTACAGATTCAACATTGATAAAAAAAATAAGAAATTAATCTTAAACGGGAAATCAGTAGAGTAGAATGATTTCTAAAGGATCATGTGTCACCGAAGACTGCAGTATTTATGCTGAAAATTCAGCCTGGCCATCGCAGTAATACAATTACATATGAAAAGTCATTTTAAATTGTAAAAAATAATTTACTGTTATGACTATTATTTTTGATCAAATGAATACAAATCAATTGATTTCATCACATTTGTAACTCTAAAGCAGAGGTGTCAATCCTGCTCTTGGATGGATGTTGGCTCTCCGTGAACAGAAGCAGGATGTCACTCCTGTTCGAAATGCTGAATTATAGTCCACTGTTGCCCTCTGATGGCGGATAGGCCTCAGCACAGTTGAGACATAAACTGACCAGCGCAAAAACTAATAACAAATAATAATTCATTACATTTATATAGCAGTTTTCTAGGCACTCAAAGCGCTTCATATGGAAGGGGGAATCTCCTTAACCACGACCAATGTGCAGCATCCACTTGGATGATGGCTGCAAACACACCGGATGGCGATTTAACAGCAAGTTTACCAACCTCTTTAACTTAATGCAACATGCAAAGATCCAGTGTGCAGAATATAAACTGTTTGTGTCCATTCATCATGGCTGAGCTGTGTTTGTAATTTTCAAAGGCTCTGCATTATTAATGGAAGCCTATTACAAACACTATTAGTCTGTTACTAATCAGACAAAAAAAAAACAAAAAACGACACAATAAGAAGAATGATGTGTGTGTACACAGCAGCTTGCAAACAGACCATTTATAAGTTCATTGGTTTAGAATGTTATGGCCGTCTATGAGTTTTGTGTCCCAAAACAATAAGAAAACAGAAGCAGCATACCCATAACAGTAACCTCCTTATATAAATGTCATTGTACTATATGAAGTTTTATATGTACCACCAATTTAAACAAATGTGTGCGAGTAAAAAGAACTAAAGAAAACAAAGGCAAGCTATAACCGTCTACACCAAACGCGAGTGGCGCCACAAAAACAAATCAAACCCATTATAAGCAGTTATGCTGTCTACACTTGATGGGGTGCAATGCAACAACAAACTCCCAACTGTAAACTGATGCCCCATACTATATCTGACGTACTTCATGCGTCCACACTCCTTCTGATGGGAAGAACAAAGTAACAGGACAGGAGAAATAGGCGTAACAGAACAAACTTAAATTAATATGCCTGCGATGTACTTTTCATTGACGTGACGCCTAAAATCACTTCTTGCACTGGCCATAATTTTGATAACGGATCCCTGTTTTTACCTAGTAAAGTGTGCTTCCTAACACCTTGTGTTTTATTTATTTATAGAAAAAAAAAATATTAAAAAGGTAAATATTAATTGCGTCAAACAGCAACAGGTCTCTGCCCTACCTGCTACATTCAACAAGTGTGACACGTAGACGCCCCTCCACCAATAGCGTGTCTCGGATTGAGATGTCCAGGTCACATGACGACGTCAAAGGTGGCTGCACTTGGAAAGGAAAAAAGGGCTTGTACCTGTCAATCAAAAACAGACAAATCAACAATCAGCCTTTGCATAAATAATCCTTGCTTTTCACATATTACTGTATGTTCATTATTGCACAATAGTAAGTCATGACTTGAATAGTGAGGTCAACAGGAAACGTTTGCCAAGGCAACGGTCATTTTGTGTGTGTGTAACCCATTCACCCGGCTGTTACAGGGAAAACAAGTATTTTAGTTGTTTGTTTTGTCCTTCCACACTAAACACTTCAGGGGCTCAGAACAGGACAGTGTGTAAAGAGCAGAAGAACAGGTTCAGTTAAATACAGCTGCAAGGGTTTTAGTCCTTTTCAAATTATGCAAATCATCAGACAAGTAGGCATTCAAGCAAAACTAAAAGTGAAAAGTATATTCATGGAATCCTTCACAACCACAATTGACAAACTTTGTGATTACTTTTATACCACCCCAAAAAAGGTGAAATGAAGAGAAAGGATCAGAAAATCAACATGGGGGGGAAAAAAAAACTAACTTTTGGAGCTTCCTCTTACATTATCTACTCAGTCAAGCAGGGATTAAGATGTTTTTTACAGTTTCCCACAATTTAATTTAGAACAACAATTATTGAACTGAATTTTAGTAATGGGAGAGTGAAGACTGGAGATTTTAAACACTTTTGCAATTTCGGAAGATTTTATGCACAAATAAACAATGAGTTAGCATTTGTTTCACAATGAAAACTGAAAAAAGGTCCATCATGTGTTCGATTAAAAAAAACTGCCAGTGAAAGCAGATTGAGATTGAACATTGGTAACTTTACAAACAGAGTGATCCCACATGCAAATTATAGCATTCCTCTGAGGAGAATGGCTCTGCTATTTTAAGACTCTCCAGTGCTAATAATAACTGGAGAGAGATTAGCATTCCTAAAACAGGAAGTGGCTTTCTCCCTCCATAGACAAAGCATTCCACTTTACCCTTGTGAGGTACAAAATATTACAAATAGATAAATTATTGTAAAGGATGTAATGACCTTAATTTAAATCACCATGGAATCAAAATGGAAAATTCTTGTTTTTTTATGGAATATTGCAATGGTTGTGCGTGTTGTGGCTTCACAAATGTTTCGCTGCATACCTCGGTTGTAACGAGTGGTTATTTCAGTCAAAGTTGCTCTTTTATCAGCTTAAATCAGTCGGCCCATTCTCCTCTGACCTCTAGCATCAACAAGGCATTTTCACACCCACAGGACTGCCGCACACTGGCAGGTTGTGGAAAACTGAAAATGGTTGTGCGTGAAAATCCCAGTAACTGAGCAGATTGTGAAATACTCAGACCGGCCCGTCTGGCACCAACAACCATGCCATGCTCAAAATTACTTAAATCACCTTTCTCTCCCATTCTGACATTCAGTTTGGAGTTCAGGAGATTGTCTTGACCAGGACCACACCCCTAAATGCATTGAAGCAACTGCCATGTGATTGGTTGATTAGATAATTGCATTAATGAGAAATTGAACAGGTGTTCCTAATAATCCTTTAGGTGAGTGTATATTAATTATATGGAAGAAAAGACTATCACATCTTCCATTTCATGTCGACTTTAACGTTTATATTTTAAAAAACACAAACTGCTGATACCTAAATATTTGAAGTTGTTATGAGCCTAAAAAAAGGAGGTGAAAGTGAAATGAACCACTCCTCTAAACCACACAAAATAGACAAAAAGCAATTTCATTAATTTCTCTAATGTAAATGCTGATGAGGCTTTCACAACCAAAATCCTGAGATTAATGCTTTGTGGATAAAAGTCATGATCAAAAACACCATCCGCCCTGAAAACAAAGCCTGTATACACGCATATCTCAACATTTTTGTGTTGCTCAGTTTCTTCAAATTTTGTCTCTTCATGCCATAGTTCTAATCAGTATTCTCTCTCCTATCTGTACAACAGAGAATTTGATTTAATGTTTTCTTTATTCCCTGAGAACAGTTTGAACCATTCTAGCTTGAGAGAGAACGTAAGAGAAAAAATTACAACATTGGATAAATGCCTGCAAGACTATGGCTGTTTGTCAATTCAAAGAAAGCAAATAATGGACTTGCATTCGGTTCTAGTATAGACCGGTCTTGCCAGGTCAGGTGACCTTGAAAGAATAAGTTTGGAAGGACGCAAGGACACAGAGCGCGTCTTGTGAGAACTGCAATGTGCTGCGATTTTGTTGCTCAACTGACCATGCCAGCATATAATACAAGTAGAGTCCAATGCACAATCACAAACAATTGTCACAACCTATTAAAACATGTATTTCATATTATATACATATTTTATATCATTTCAATTCACGACCACGAGTATTTGTGAAAATTAGTAGCCAATGTTTAATTAGCCTACTTATTTTTGTCAATGTTAAGATGCAATGTTAACTGGTGTAAACATGGTCCAAAATGTTGTATGACTCAAACAGGCAGTTCATGAATTCTACTTCCTGTTCAAATACTTCATGATGCAAAATTCTAAGAACAACATCCTGGTATGGTAACACTCTGATAGCACCCAATGCTCCCTCTCCATTTCCCAGCTGCTTAATTACAGGACATGACTTCAGTTTGTTTCAGAGCACACAAAGGGCACAAAGCGCAGGCCTATCACTTACCACCAACACTGTTACAGGAACATAGCCAGCCTGGACCATTAAAAATACAACACTCTCACCCCTCTCAAACACACACACACACACACACACACACACACACACACACACACACACACACACACAATTGAGTCTGGACCTGGACATCTAAGCCAACTGTAAGCAAATACATGCACACACATTCACTGGTATATATTAACAACAGCAATTACCTGATAAACAATATTCAATTTCTGCATGAGTTAGGTAACGAATGACAGGTTTACTTTACATACACTAGCATACTGCTAGACTAGCTGTCTTTCTATTTACTTTGTAAATCTACTGTTCTAGTCAATGAGTAAAGCAGTCTCTGTACGGTTCCGGTGGAGTTAGCTAATCCTATGTACTCAAATTTAATCATTTGTGTTCCAAAGATGAACAAAGGTTTTACGGGGTTGGTACAGCATGGGGGTGAGTAATTAATTACTTAATTTTCATTTTTGGCTGAACTATCCCTTTAAGCTACTACTTCAATGTAGGGCTGGGCGATATGGCCAAAAAAAAAATTATCACGATAATTTTTTTTATATCAGTCGATATCGATAATTATCACGATAAATGTCAAATCTTTATTTCTTTCTATTACTTCAAGGCAATGAATTAAAACGAAGAACACTTAACCTGTGGTGAAATGCTTTGATGTTTAAAGTACGTTAAAGGGCTTCCAGCAGCACTGCATGAATACTTGCTGTAATCACCTCCGAGGGGAAAAAAAGCCAGCAAACAACTATTGACTGTGAAGGCCCTGTCCAGCTTATCACCATCTATCTTCCTCTGCACTCCTGAGGCGTTAAGTGTAAGCAGTTTAAAAAAACATTTTCTCATTTTAAGAAAATCAACAGATTTCAGATTTCTGCTAAATCTGCAAAATCGTCCAGAAACCACAGGAAATTCGTTGGTTTGCAATGAGACAAACTATAACTCACACGCAGATAAAAAACAAGCGCACGCATATACCCACACGCACACCATTTTCCATTCATTTTGGATAAACCATTAAAGTAAGTGTCAGCCAATTAGGTTTTTTAGTCCATATACATATATCAATCAGCATCTTATCAGTGGAATGAAAATATAGTACAGTTATATGGTGATATATGCATGTAATAAAAGTTCATGTAAAGCCAAACAAACACACCTGCTGTGTCTTTAACTGAGAATATGTTGTTGACCGGATTAAAACCCCACTCATGATATCACCAGCACCTCTCTAAAATACCTCATATACACCACAACTAGGTCACAGAGGACAAACCCCATCAGCTTTGCTTTTATATGCAGCAGGAAGAAATGTATGACTTTGCCAATCGGGTGAGAGAGAGTGCCAGGAGCTTATCGTGTGTTCTGCAAACTGACTGCAAAAAAATAAAAAATAAAAAGCTGATAAAAAAAAAAAAATTGTGCCTGTTTCACACTGCACATGTAAACATGTGAGCACTGCAGAGGAAAGATATGATGAGCATTTCATTTGATATAATTGTTATAAAGAGTGGGCAATTGAGAACCATAAAAACATTTGTCATAAAATCTAATTTACATAATCAATGCACAATATCTGTACCATATTACTTTTTTTACCAGTATTAATGTTTTCAATTTATTTTTACCTTTAGTTACTTTTTTATAAACATTAATAATGTAATAACACTATCAAATAATAACCTTTTGTAAATCTCAAAATTAATATTTATTTTCATACTTTAAATAATGCTGTGATGCCTAAATACACTTCCAGCATTTTAAAGGTCCCATGACATAGTTGGACAAAATATTATAGCTATTTTTGGGATTTGTTGTTTATCTTTATAATGAAGTTGTCTGTATTAAGTAGATTAAGTTTTATAATGAAGTTGTCTGTATTTGTGTGTTTAACACACAAAATAGTGATTACAGTATCAGGTCTATACAGAGTTATAGAAATTATACTTGATTTATAAAATATAAAAAAACTGTGCTGGTATCAGATCGGTATCGGTCGATGGTCAGAATTTTTGGTATCGGATCGGATTGAATCTGAAAAAGATGGTATCGGTGCATCCCTAGCTTAAATATAGTCCATTTGTAGATTATCAGTCATTTATTTAAAAATAATGATCAGGTTATCTGCATAAGCCAGAATTTTAATAATGTGTAGCCCTGATTTATGTAGACGAGATAATTTTCAGCCCTTAGTAATGAGGTACAAAAACAGCTGCTTGCATTAACATGACTGGAAAATGTGCTTGGTAATGTTTGTGCTTTCCCAGGGGTTTGCGGTGCAATCAAATAAAAGTGATTACAAATATGATAAAGGGATTTCATTTCAGCTGAACTTTGGCCTGACTGTATTTACCAAGCT